GTCGTAGTCTGGGAAGGCTCGACCACCATATGTTACTGACCGTGTGATTATGCAAGAGCCCCCCCCCCCTTGAAGCGCACTCAAGAGCACGAGGGGGCCGTCAATAATTCGGACAATTAGACGCTTGGGTCGGAAGCCTCCAGCTGCCAGCAAGCGGGCCTCCGAGCGAAGGTCAGATTCCTCCGCGTTGTCAGCCGCAAAGCCAGCCACATCCTCTTGCAGCTGCTCCACCTCGATGTCTTCGAAGTTCCAAGCTGCTGGTACCTTACTTCCTTGGCCGCCCACTTCCTGCGTGCGGTGCCTCTTCTCGGGCGGCTCCGCGAGCAACTCAGCAGCGCGAGACTTGAGCGCCTCCGCCAACATGGGGGCCAACTTGCTGGCATCCGCAACGCCCGCCATGCTGCCGAGGCATTCCAGCAACTTGGACTCGTCCACCTTGATCTCGGGCCCCGCGAGGTCCATGGACTTCTCGCTCTGAGCCTCTGGCTGGGAGGCGAGAGCCCGCACTTCTTGTTCGGGCTGTTGGCATACTTGCTGACGCTCCACAGCCAGCTCAGCGCCTGTCTTGGCCGCTTCCTAGGCTCTGAGCAGCGCCTTATCCAGCTCGACCTTGTCCTGCACAGCCTTCTGGAGCCGCAATCGGGTCTGCTCAGCTCTGCGCGAGAGTGCAGTAAGCTTCGCAAGTAACGGTGTGTTCTCATACAGCTTGCGGCGGGCAGACTCGAGCTGTCCACGGGCAACCTTGAGCGGCAGAGCCGCCCAAGAGGCGCGAGTTGACTCCAGCCACTGCACATGCTTAACCAAACCGCCGATTTCTTCCCGTAAGTCTTTTGACTCGTTCGCCTCCATAACTGCTTCACTACCTGTGTCCGAGGGTAAGTTGCGCAGCTTGGCGTTCTCTGCCTCCAGCTGCCGCAAACACTTCTCCATCTTTGCCACTGCTGAGGCCGAGCTGCTGCCGTCAGCCTTGCGCTTGTTCCAACTGGGGAGGTCGACAGGAACGACGCATTTGAATGCCACACCCTTGTGCAGCTTACATATGTAACACTTCTCACTGACTCCGTAATTGATGAGAGGAGCACCAGTGCGACGAAACGAGCAGAACTTGCACATCCAATCTGCCTTGGCCTCCTGGTTCCATGGCGCTGGTGCCATGGCGACGTCTTTGCTGATCGACTGGGCCGCCAGTGAGCCCCTGCAGTATTGGCTGAAATAAATACTGTCGGGCGCAAGCGCCCTGGCACTGCCGCGGACTAGGGGTATCCGTGACAGCCAATGCGGGCTCAGCCCGCCGATGCATAAGCCTTGAGCCAAAATGGCTACGGAAGAAGAGGAGGAGGAGGGTGGGAAGGAGGAGGAGGAGGAGGAGGAGGAGGAGAAGGAGGAGAGCGGCAGGTGGAAGTGGAGCAAAGCGAAGAGGAGGAAAGGAATTGGGCCTCACAGAAAGAGACATGCCACTCGGAGCAGGGCGAACTGAGACCACGCCAATTCGAAACTAGCACGGGGCCCATGCCGGGGTCCAAGAGCATAAGTTCCCCGCGCTGCGTCCAGGCGTGGCGACGAGTCCCCCCCCCGAAGGCCAACTACCGTTGTCTGCCCCGCCCCCTCTCTGCATTACGACAAAAAGGAAGGGAAAAAGGCGGGAGAGGGAGGAAGACGTGGACGAATGGGGAGGACCAGCGTCTAAGGAACGCCCATTCTCACGGCAAAGCAACGGGCGTGCGTGCAAAACAAAAAAAATGCCGGGGAGACAGGGAACGGCGGGCTGGCAGGACAGAGAGCGTGGGGGGAAGCCCTGAGGCCGAGGCAGGAGGCAGAGGAGGGGGCGGGCGGAGAGGCCACGGAGCAGGGAGAAGGATGAGCAGCACGAGGAGAGAATAGGAGACAGTAGAGCGAGGAAGGGGAACGAGGAGGATAGCCAAGCTGACCAGGCTGAGGAGGAGAGCGAGGAGGAGGAGGAGGGGGAGAGGAGGAAGAGGAGGAGAAGACAAGACAAGAACCGTTGCGAGCCATTGTCTGTGCCAGCTGAAGCTAATGCTTGTGAGGCGCCTGCTTACAAAAGCCCACAAAGTGGGATTCACGAGGGGCCACCGACGAAGCGAGAGCGGCGAGCGGGCCAGGGGACCCCAGGCAGGACCGACGGAGAACCGAGGGCAAGCCGAAGGACCGAGGGCCGCGAGGAGGAGAACGAACAAAGGAGCGGGGGCCAGCACGACATCGAAAGGCTCTCGGCTGCGATGCAATCGCCTACCAGCGGCTACCGCTGGAAGGACGGCCTTCACTGGCCGACAGCGGGACAGCTATGAGGGGAGACCAAGCTGCCCGCCCGCGGCACCATCCTTCCTGAAAAGAGGGGACGGGGCAAAGAAGCAGAGGGCGGGGACAGGGAAGGGGGAAGTGAGCAAGGTCGCAACGCCGCTCACTCGAGGGCGAGAAGGTGCAGAGGTGGTGCGAATACCCTGAATACTCTGCGGGCAGACTCCTGCTCAGGGGGCCTTGCCTCAACATGTCGTAGTCGTCGCCGGGGTACTCCTCGATCAGCTGGGAGATCAACTCTGCCACCTGGGCCCCAATCCTTTCCCCCCCCGCGACTGGTCTTTTGTGCGGCCCGTTGGTCTTTTGTGCGGCCCGTTGGGTTCTTGTGCGGCCGGCGAGCGGCCAGGTGGCTCTTACTGCGGCCCGCGCTGACCCTTCAATGATATATAAAGGATTCCTTTCCTAGCTCTGGCAATCCTTGCAACCCTTCAGGGCATGCGGTCCCGCCCAGAAAAGGTGGCCGCATGAAGGACCATCTGGAGGCGTGTTGGAAGCAATCTAGTAGTAGTTGTGCCAATCTTCAATGCAACATTCAAAAAGCATTATTTGAAGCTGTGTGATAAGCTCAGCTGCATATCCGATGGCGTATGCAATACTGGAAAATGGTACGAGGAACGGGCTCGAAACAATCGTCCTCCTGAGCATCACGATCATCATCATATTCATCCTCATCCTCCCCAACATGATCATCCTCCCCTCGTCTTGCACTTGTCAACATCACATGCGGAATCTCCCTTCATCCTTCTCTCTTGCCGTCATGACCCTGGCCCCCACGTTCCTTCTCCTGGGTCCTCACTCCTACCTTTTCCCGTTTCTCCTCCTCCTCCTCCTGCTCCTCCTCCTCCTCCTCCTCCTCCTCCTCCTCCTCCTCCCCCTCGTTGTTCATTGTTGCTCGTGTCCCTCCGGACTAAACTCCTCCCGCTGCATGCTCATGCTGCGTCCCTTCCTGCTCGCTTCTTCTGCTGCCTACCTTTTTTGTCGGCTCCTCCTGCTGCTTGATCCTCCTGCCTCCTCCTCCTCCTCGCTTCCTCCACCTCATCCACCACTACGTCCAACTGCCTCTTCTTGCTCCTTCTCCTCCTTCTCCTCGTCCACATCCTGCCTCCTACTGTATTTTCCTCCTCGTCGTCGTCCTCCCCTCAGCTTAGTCCTCCTGCCCCTCACCCTCCTCCTCCTCCTCGTCACCATCATTCAGTAGTCATCTTCAACGACAGCATCGTCATCGTCATCGGAATCGTAATCATACTCAGAACCATCGTCATCATCATCACCATCATCACCAGCATCATCATCATCGTCGTCGTCATCGTCGCCAGCATCACTACCACTATCACCACCACCGTCACCATCATCATCATCACCATCATCGCCACCATCGTCATCACCACCACCGTCATTATTATCAGTATCATCATCAGATTCGTCATCGTCATCGTCATTCTCATCGTCGTCGTCGTATCGGCATCGTCGTCGTCCTCCTCATCAACATTCTCAGTTTCCGCATGAACATCGGCACCATCATCATCATCATCATCATCATCATCATCATCATCATCAGCATAAGCAGCATCATCATCATCATCATCATCATCATCATCATCATCATCAACATCATCATCATCATCATCATCATCATCATCATCATCATCATCATCATCATCAGCATAAGCAGCATCAGCATCAGCATCCACCACCATCATCATCATCAACATCATCATCACCATCATCATTAGCATTATCATTATCATTATCATTATCATTATCATTATCATTATCATTATCAGTATCATCATCATCATCATCATCATCATCATCATCATCATCATCATCATCATCATCATCATCATCATCATCATCATCATTTACAATATTGGCGTTAGCATCAACATCATGCTCGTCCTCATCCTCCTGATCCTCCTCCTCATCCTCCCCCTCCTCCGTCAACAGAAAGTCCTCCTGCTGCTGCGGATGGGGCGGCCGGTTTGCAAGTCGCGTGGCCGCTCGAAGGGGAGGGGCAGCAGAACGAGGAGGAGCAGCAGCAGCAGGATGGAGAGGGAAAGGGATGAGGGAGGTGGAAGGGGGAGGAGGCGGGTGATAGTGAGAATGGGGCCCCACGAGGCTCTTCAGAGGCCTCAGGAAGCTCTTCAGAGGGACCCAAGAGGCTCTTCAGATGTGCCCAACAAGCCCTTGAGGGAGGCCCAGAGGCTCTTCCGGGGGGCAAGACGCTCTTCTGGGGGGCCTAGAGGCTTTTCAGAAGCACCCCCCAGAAGCACTTCAAGGGGCCCAAGAGGCACTTCAGAGGCCCCAGTGAGCTCCTCAGAGGCCTAAAAAAGCTCTTGGGAAGCCCACCGAAGCTCTTCAGGGGGACAAGACGCTCTTCTGGGGGCCTAAGAGGCTCTTCAGCGGCCACTCGGAAACTCTTCAGAGGCCCCAAGCGGCTCTTCAGTGGCCCCAAGAAGCTCAGCAGAGGCCCCAACAGACTCTTTCGAGGCTCCAAGAAGCTCTTCAGAGGCCTCAAGACGAGGCACTTCAGGGAGGCCCAAGAGGCTCTTCAGGGAGCCTTCAGGGGGCCCAGAGCCCCAAGACGCTCTTCAGGGGGGCCCAGGAGGCTCTTCAGGGGAGCCCAAGAGGCTCTTCAGGGAGCCTTCAGGGGGCCCGAGAAGCTCTTCAGATAACCTTCAGGAGGCCCAAGAGGCTCTTCAGAGCCCGCTTCACCGTTCTCGAGGATTCATATACTCCGGAGAACCCTTGGCCGTAGTAAAGCCCAACGGGCCGCACAAACAAAACATCTTGCCGCAGTAAAACATTCTCTTCCCCCCCCTGCCCCTCCTCCTCCTCCAGCGCCTCCTCATCCTTCGCCCCCTTCTCTCCCGATCCCTGAGAAGGGGGAACTCCTCCAGGTCCACCTTCTCGCCCTCCCCGTCTCCTTCTCCCCCCCCCTCATGTTCCTCACGCCGCCGAAAATTTACCCTTCCTCCACATCGCCGTCCTCTTCGTTTTTTTTCGCCGTGCTTTTCCGCCTGATCCCATCCTCCTCTGTCCTTTTTGTCAGCGTGCGTAAGTTCCTGCTGCTGTTCCTTCTGCTCACGCCGTCCCATTTCCCCCGCTCCATTCTGCTTTCTCCTCACCATACGATTCCCAATGTTCCCCGCAGAAAGCGGAAGCGAGAAGTCAACGTTGAAAACGGCCCGGCCTCCACCTTCGCAGCTGTGGGGCATTCCAAATTCGGGGGGTATTCACTTTGAGGACATGTGGGGCGACACCCAAATGTTGACAACGGCCCGTCCGCTATCCATGCAACTGGTGAAAAAATCAGCTACAGGGACTGCTCCTGAAGGGACCCCTATGTGCATATATGAATCATGGGTGGGGTGACCTTGGACAGCATTTTTGGGCCTTGCGCTCTGACCAAGCATTCTTCGGCGCAGCTGAGACCGCGCTCCACGGCTGGTCGAGCATCTCAGCCCAACGGGCGAAGCCGGAACCGAACGACGGGCGCGTGAGGCAGCACGGGCACACTTTCTCTGAACCTCGGCGCCTGCGAGCACGCGAGCGCTGGCCATGCGAGCACGTCCAATGCACGAAACTCTGCTTGCGCTCGTCCTCCACCCCCTCCTTTTCATCCTCGTGCTCTCCCTTTTGATCCTCCTCCCACTGCGCCCCCTCCATCCTTGTAAAGATCTCCTCCATGTCGCGCCCCAGGACGGGTCGGCAGGGCGAGTCGGGCGTTTCGCTTGAGACTTCGTGGCCCCGCATGATCCCGATGCATGAAGTTTGCAAGCGCTTCGCGGATGAAGGGCGGGCCGTTCTCAAAATTGGCTCTCGCCCTGGCGGCGCGCACATTCGTCTCCAACGTTTGCAAGAGCTTCAAGGATGAAAGGCGGGCCGTTTTCAAAATGTGGCTCTCGCCTTCGCGCTGCGCGCTTTCGTCTTAGAATCCATCAAAAGTTTCACGGATGAAGGGCGGGTACCACGTTTTACCCAGCCACTCATTCCACAACATGCTCCTCCACATCCCTCATCACGGCATTTCGTCTGGGCATCGTTTCTGGTTGGGTTGGTGGGGTTACTTTTGGGCACGCGGGCGCGCGAAACGAGTCGAACGCCGTGCAAGCAGGGGCAGGCCGTGCCACAAGCTAAGGAAATTATCCTGGCGAAGGACCCAAGCATATGCAGTTGTGGGTACCGCAATTGACAATATCTTCTTCGGTGAAGCTCCCTATGGGGCCACGGAGCGCTGCACTTGGTGGGGGGGGATCGCATGCGGGCAGTAGCACTGGGGCCGTCGGTGGAGTTTCACGAAGCGCTCTAGTGGGTGCGTGAAAATGCAGAATTAAGTGCGTGGGCGGTCCCACTGGGAGCTTCGGTGGAGCTCCCTATGGGACCACGAAACGTTTTACAAGGTGGGTGAAAATACCAAATTGGGTGTGTGGGACGCATGCGGGCGGCCCCATTGAGGGCTTCGATGGAGCTCCCTATAGGGCCACGAAGCGCTGTACTGGGTGGGCGAAACTGCCAAATTCATGCGTCCCAGACGGTCCCACTGGGGGTTTCGGTGGAACTCCCTATGGGGACTGCCAAATTCATGCGTCCCGGACGGTCCAGTTGGGGGGTTCGGTGGAACTCCCTCTGGGGCCACGAGACGCTGTACTGGGCGGGTGGAAATGCAAAATGCATGCGTCCCGGACGGACCCACTGGGGGCTTCGGTGGAGCTCCTTGTGGGGCCACGAAACGCTCTACTCGGTGGGTGCAAATGCCAAATTCACACGCCCCTGGGGGGCTTCGGTGGAGCTGCCTCTGGAGCCACGAAGCGCTGTACTCGGCAGGTGGAAATGCTAAATTCATACGCCCCGGGCGGTCCCACCGGGGGCTTCGGTGGAACTCCCTATGCAGCCACGAAGCGCTGTACTGGTTGGGTGAAAATGGCAAATTCATGCGTCCCGAACGGTCCCACTGTGGGTTTCGGTGGAGCTCCCTATGGGGCCACGAAGCGCCCTATGTGGGTGAAAATGCGACAGTCATGCGTCCCAGACGGTAGCACTTGGGACTTCGGTGGAGCTCCCTGTGGGGCCACGAGCCGCTGTACTGGTTGGGTGAAGCGCAAGGAGGAGGGAGGAGCTCCCAAGAACGCTTCAAGAGGACGCCAAGGGGCTCCCACGATGCCCCAGGAGCCTCCAACAAGCGCCCAAGAGGCCTCCAAGAGGCTCCCAAGAGACCCCCAAGAGGCCCCAAGAAGCTCTCCGAG